TTGCTTTTGAAATGAACATGTCCACGCTTAGCAGAGAATACCTCCACACTGGGCACTTGGGTGAAAAAATTTCCAGGAACCTGGGCTCCTGAAATGTGCCAATTTCTAATTTATTTGGAGGTTCCATTTTCTTCACAGTAGATTTTTTTAAATGTTTTATTGATTGAGAATCTGTTCTCAATAAGTCAAGAAAAATAAATGGATTAAGAATTGAAAAAGTATTGGTTTTTGCAAAGATATTATTAGGTATATAGAAAATCTGAGAGATAAACTATTAGAATTAATAATTAAAAATCATCTGTATTTCTAAATTCTGTCAACAAACAGTTAGAAGTAATCCATCATGTGTATAGTTGGAAGATTGTAAAGATTTTAGCTCTCCTCATTCAAAATCCAGCAGGTATTTATACAAGTTTTATGCTTCATTTATTAAAATATATTGATGACTTTATTAATTATAGCTTCCTAATGTTCATCTTTTCCCTGTCTTTTCGAGGCCTGGAAGGAGACCAGGTCAGGGCACAGAGGCACCACATTGATTCCACAGCCACCAGTTGCTCTTTAGCCCTGAGCAGAATTTTACCCTTTTCAAATCTCATTTTCCCTTCTATACAATATGGAAAATAGTAACTCCCTTTTTTTTTTTTTTTTTTTATTGAACAACCTTTTAATTATATATTTAATGTGCTGTGTAAGTCCAAGGCAGTGATACTAACTATAGCTGTATTAAGTTTCTAAAACGTTTCTGACCTGTTTTGCATATAAATGTTTAAAAACTTTTTAACTATGAACATTCTTTTAAGATCAAGAACAAGACAAGGGTGATCACTTATCACTGCTATTTAACATTGTTCTGGAGAGGCTAGCCAGTGCAATTAGAAGTAAAAATCAGCAGAAGTCTAACTTAGATGGAAATTAATGAAATGAAAATTCAAGATAATCAAGAAACCATGGTAAAGAATGAGAAGCAAAATGATTGATTGTAAAGTTAATAACCAATCAGTTGCCTTAAAGGATTCAATTATAATAAAATGATGAAACAACTTTGAAAATAAACTTAATAAGAAATATGCCCACATGTGTATGAAGAAGGTTTTTGAATGGTACTGAGAGAGTGCTGAAACAAATTGAGAAGCATACCATGGTCTTGGATAGAACATCTCATAAAGATGTTCATTTTCCCCCTAAATTATTCTTTAATATGATTCCAGTTTGTATACCAATAAGAATTTTCTTAATTGGAACTAAATAAACTTGATTTTTAAAATTATATTAAAAAAGAAACAAAACCCAGGAAAATTCTGTCAAGCATAGTGAGGAATCTAGCCTTACCAGATATTAAAATATAATACTATAATAATAAAAACTATCTGTATGGTATATGTTGTTATGTGCCGTTGAGTCAAACCTGACTCATAGCGACCTCTCCTTGGGTTTCTGAGGCAGTATCACTACGGAAGTAGGATTGCCCAACCTTCCTTCCGAGGAGTGGCTGGTGGGTTCGAACTGCCAGCCATCTGGTTAGCAGGCAAGTGTCTTAGCCACTATGCTAACAGAGCTCCTCGGAAGGTTGGGCATTCCTACTTCCGTAGTGATACTGCCTCGGAAACCCAAGGAGGGGTCGCTATGAGTCGGGGCCGACTTGATGGAAAATAACAACAACAACGTATGGTATATGAGTAAACAGTTTAACAGGATAGAAAGTTTAGCAATAGACTCAGGTATTATTTAATATGCAATAAAGGTGGCATAGTGCTATTTGGACAACTGGATAGCCATTTGGGAAGAGTAAAATTGTATCCATAGCTCACATCTTAACTTCAGGATAAATTCCCAGATGAAATATAGATTTAAGTGAACATAAAATGAAGCAGCAGTGGTACCAAAAGAAACCATAGGATATAGACATTTTGATAACCTATGACAAAAAAGCCATAAAAGAAAAGATTGGTAAATTCAACTATATAGAAATTAAAAATGTCTTTGTGGCCAGAACTGGCAGAAACAAAGAAGAATGGCAAGCTTGGGACATATTTGCACTAGAGAGCATAGACAGAGATCTCATTTCCCTTATACTAAATCATATGAAGAGCTCCTATAAATTAGAAAAAGATCAATATCTAACAGAAAAAAATGAATAAAACATAAGGAAGAGTAGATAGAGGTTTTTAAACAAATGAAAATATGTTCAACACCACCCATTAGAAAAATGCAAATTAGAATTCCTCACATGCTTTTTTTGCATGTGTGAGATTTCATTTTTCACCTGTCAGATTGTCAAAGATCCAGATGTTTGTTACTAGTTGGCAAGAACGTGGAGAAGCAGGCATTCCCCTGCTTTGCGATGGGGCCATGAAATAGCACAACCTGAGTGAAAGATAATCTGCTAATACCTGTAAAAATTAAAGTATAGTTTGTACTTCTAAAAATATATATACCTTATAAGTATGTATTCATCCATGTGCAAGTTGATAATATATCTTAAATCCTTTATTATAGAATTACTTCAGTGGGAGGAAAAAAAATTGGAAACAACCCAAATGTCCATCAGTTGGGGATTAGGTGAATAAATATACTGTACTGTAAATATACTGTGCTAATAGGAAATGATTCTGAGATAGGTTATTTTGTGACAAAATTTAGATGTAAACAGTGTATCTGATATGCTACCATTTGTGTTTTTAAATTAAAGGCTGAGGACAAAAAATACATATGTATTTGTCTATATGTGTATAATACAGTCCTAGAAGGACCCACCTGGGGTGGATAACCTCAGAGGAGAGTGGCTAGCTAAGAGAGAGGGGTGGGGAAAACTTTTAAAAATGAAATATAATTTACATACTAGAATATTCACCCTCTTCAAATACACAATTCAGTAGTTTTTAGTATATTCACAAAGCTCTGCAACTATCACTGCTGTTTAATAGCACATTTTCATCACACCAAATGAAACGCCATACCTTTTGTAGTCATTTCCCAGTCACTTCCCACTTCCGCCCTTTCCCCAACCCCTGTAAGCCACTAATCTACTCTCTATCTTTATAGATTTGCCTTTTCGTTTGTGACTGGATTCTTTTACTTAGCATAATTTTTTCAATGTCCATCCATATTGTAGCATGAATCTGTGCTTCATTCCTTTTTATGGCTGAAAAATAATCCATTGTATGGATATACCACATTTGGTTTATCTGCTCATCAGCTGATGACATTTATGTCTACTTTTAGGCTATGATGAGTAATGCTGCTTGTGGTAGTTATGTTTGTTTGTCAACTTGGCTGGGCCTGGTGAGTGGCTGGGCAGCTGGATGTAGTTATTCCCCGTGGTAAGATTGGTAATTAACTCCGTGGTGGAATGTATTAGAGCCACTGAGTAGCTGCCTTTGGGTATGTGGTCTGCTTCCCATATATAAGAAACAGCTTTGGAAATGGTCTCCAGCATATGGCATGCTTGAACCCTGTATGTAGCTGTGTCATTGTTCAGCAGCCTGCCATGCTCTACTGACCTTGGGACTTTCAGTGGACTTAAATTTATGGCCTGCCGTGTGGTTTGGTAACATCAGGACTGTGCCTTTTTACTTGTCAACCTTGGGTTTGTCAGTCTCAGCAGCCAGCAGCTGTCTTGAGTGAAGAAACGCCTCTAGCTCCGGTGGGCTGGGAGCAGGAGGCAGAGCTGAACCTCAGGGTTGAGGGGCTTTCACCCAGACCCTAGAGCCTGGCACTTTGAACTTGGACTTCTAACCTCCTGAACTGTAAGAAAATACACTCCTGTTTGTTCAGCCATCCCATTTGTGGTATATTCTTGTCAGAGCAGCACTAGGTAACCAGAACACTGCTATAACATTCATGTATAAGATTATATATATATATTCCTTCTTCCTCCTCCCCATCACCCCCCCACCCCCAGTTCTCTTGGGTATATACCCAGCAGTGGAATTACTAGATCATATGGTAACTAAGTTTTTGAAAAACTGCCAAACTTTTCCAGAGTGCTGCACCATTATTCATTCCTTTCATCAGTGTATAAGGGTTGTAATTTTTCTCCTTCCTTGCCAACACTTGTTACTGATACCAAAATAGTGTAGTCCAGGTTGGTTTTTTGTTTTGCTTTATTTTTTTACATCTTAAACTAGAGCAGTGTGTATATCAGATAGAAAATGTTAATTCCGTTAAAGATTAAAGAAAATCCTCATAACCTGCTGGGATGTTTGTTTGATTATAGCCCATCCTAGTGGGTGTGCAGTGATACCTCATTGTGGTTTTTATGTGCATTTCCCTGATGACTATTGGTGTTGGGGGTCTTTTCATGTTCTTACTGGCTATTTGTTGTATATCTCTTTCAGAGAAATGTCTGTTCAAGTCCTTTGCCCATTTTTAATTTATTTTTGAGTTCTAAGAGTTCTTTATATGTTCTGAATACTAAACCCTTATCAGATATATATAATTTGCAAGTATTTTCTCCCATTCTGTGGTTTGTCTTTTGTTTCTTGATAGTGTCCTTTGAAGCATAAAAGTTTTTCAGTTTTGATGAGGTTCAGTTGATCTTTCCCTTTGTTTGTATTTTTGGTATCAAATTTAAGAAACCCAATCTAAGATCACAGAGATTTTCACTTACTGTTTTCTTCTAAATATTTTATAGTTTCAGCACTTGCATTTAGGTCTTTATTCCACTTTGAGTTAATTTTTCTATGTGGTATGAAAGAGAAACCCAACTTCATTCATTTGCATTTGGATATTGAATTGTCCCAGCACCATTTGTTGAAAAGACTCCCAGTGAAATTGTGTTGGTACCCTTGTCAAAAATCAGTTTGCCCATAAACTTAGGGGTTTATGTTTAGACTTTCAGTTCTCTTCCAGTGATCTTGTGCTACTGTTTACCCTTTTATATGCTCTGAATCATGGATTACATGAATGTATTTTTTTCAAAAATAATAAAATTTTAAAAGAATTACTAAGTTTAACATAATTTACTCCTTTAATTTCCATCCAATTTGCTCTTTCAGGAAAATGTGCTGTGTTGTCATTCAAGGACTTCCTCTCCTGCAGGCCAACTGAAATACCAGAAAATGACATTCTGCTTTGTGAAAGCCGCTATAATGAGAGTGACAAGCAGATGAAAAAATTCAAGGGACTGAAGAGGTTTTCACTGTCTGCTAAAGTGGTAGATGATGAAATTTATTACTTCAGGTAAAGCTTGAGAAACTAAGAAAGAAAGAGCACTTCAGCTCTTGATAATAAAACCAATACCAAAATAGTATAGTCCAGGTTGGTTTTCTGCTTTGCAGTATATTTGTCAGATAGAAAAACTTAATTAATTCAATTAAAGACAAATCCTCATAATCCATTAGGTTGTGGTAACTGTCTTAACAGTGCCCTTGGTTAGACTCTAGTAATTGTAGTATGGAGGCAGAAATACTTGGTCTTTGCATAATTCCATGGACTGTGAAAACTCTTTTCACTATGTATACATTGCAGATTATAGGAAGTCATTTCTAGACATAAGGCAAAGCATTGCTTTCTGACAAATCCTGGGGCAGTGTGTTAGATGATGATTTCTTTTTTTTTTTTTTTTTGGTCTCTTCTTTTAGGAAGCCAATTGTTCCTCAGAAGGAGCCCTCACCTTTGTTGGAAAAGAAGATCCAGTTGCTAGAAGCTAAATTTGCCGAGTTAGAAGGTGGAGATGATGATATCGAAGAGATGGGAGAAGAGGATAGTGAGGTCATTGAACCTCCTTCTCTACCTCAGCTTCAGACCCCTCTGGCCAACGAGCTGGACCTCATGCCCTACACACCCCCACAGGTAAAGGTGATAAGTTCCAGTTACTTGTCTTATTCCCAGCTTTGGTTTGCAGCAGACCCAAACCAGAGTAATAAGATATCCAGTCCCTACGTGTTTGAGCCTCAACCTCGAATTCTGCAGGAAAAGACAGATTTCTTTTTTCCTTTTCAATACCATTAATAATTTAAAATGGAATCTTTCTGAGTTTTCATAGATAGCTATTTTTAATGGCAAGTTTAGTTAGAAGGCGCTCCCTGCCTTGTGTTGAAGGAAAGCAATAAGGACTGATGACTCTTTAGCCTTTATTGCTCATATCTTTTTAATATCGCCTTATGAATCTCGTCTTTTGTTTGAGGTGTTCCCTGCTGGTATTTTTTCCTCATTCAGAATTTTTCCAAGACTTAATTGTGAGGTCACCACTATAGATTGCAGTCATGGAATCCATTGAAACTTTGATGTATTTCTTACCTGGTAAGAGGCACAGTAAAGGTGTCTTCTGACCAAGAAAATGGTCATCTAGAGACTAAATGTATCTGTAAAACAGTAACTATTGATAATATGTTCCTGGATTCCAGAAACTTAGAGCAGTTAATGAAATGTAGTGTTCTGATGTGCTATAAGAGCCGTCTGTCTTACAGTCCACCCCAAAGTCTGCCAAAGGCAGTGCAAAGAAGGAAGGCTCCAAGCGGAAGATCAACATGAGCGGCTACATACTGTTCAGCAGTGAAATGAGAGCTGTGATTAAGGCCCAACACCCAGACTACTCTTTTGGGGAGCTCAGCAGACTTGTGGGGACAGAATGGAGAAACCTCGAGACAGCTAAGAAGGCAGAATATGAAGGTAAATAGAGACTAGTCATAACTGACACAGCTTTCTAAGCAAAGGGGGTATTTTCAGGAATGCACGTGCATAGACAGGTTTTATATTTTGTTCTTCCCACTTGCACATGAACTTTGTGCTGGGGACTGTCCCAAATGGCACCCATCCAACAGTGTAGATGCCAGCTTTGTCCTGACTGAGCAGAGTGCTGCCCCTGACTTGGCCTCTATCCTGGTGTGGTTTTTTTGTTTTGGGGGGGGCGGGGCGGGTTGCCAAAAAAAAATTGCTCAAGCAAAAATATCTTGCTATTAAAAGTTGCATGATTTCCTTCTTTCACTGAACCTTGTAAGCACATATGTGTTGAGCTGGGGAATGACTGTACAGTGATGTTGAGAATGATTTTGATTAAACTTTATCTGAAAGGGGGACTTAAAATCAGTGACCTTCTGTTATGGCTGTTAATAAGCCATATGTTTAAATCCAGGCTGAGACTTGGCCAAAGTGCTTCGTTTCCTAGGCCAGTCCTGATCTGTGCTGTGTTTGCATTCACAGCTACTTTTAAGGCATTTCTTTGATAATGCTCAACTGCCTTTACTTTCCTGTTACTCTACAATAAAATCATTTTGGGCCATGATCTATCATCCAGGGATTTGGTGGTACATAAGCCATCAGGGACAAATACTTGAGATTTTTTCCTGTTTTCTTTTTTAAAATATCAGGCACAGCTTTAACAAATTAGAGAGTGGTAAGCAGACTAGGAAAGACTGTTGGCCTTGAAATTATATTTTTTCCTTTTAGAATTTTATATATTGGTTCATTTGTACATTTTAAGCCATCTACCCTACAGTGGTTAGCTGTTACTCTGCTTGGCCAGATCAAAATCCATTATTTTCCAGCAAACATAACGGAATTAATTGTCAAGGCTGTCCAGTTTATTAAAGTTTATGAAACCTTCAGAGAAACTTTTTTTTTTTATTTATTTAACTTTTTTCAATCACACATGATTATTACAAAATTATCTGACAGGTTCCCCTAAGGATCTTCTGTAGAATCCTAATCCTGCAAGATACTCAGCCAGAAACTCATTTTGTGACATAACTAGTTTGAGAAGCACTACAGACTTTCTCTCTTGGAAACTTATAGTGCATATCCCTATGCTAAAGTGTCTAAGACCTATAGTAAAGAAATATGTTTTTTATGACCTGACATTTTCTGACACTTGACCATATTCATGTGATACTTACTTATATGGTAAAGAACTAATATTTTACAGAATGTTCCTTGAGAAACTCAGGCTAGTTCCATAAGAACCTAGAACTTTGGAGAGTCCTGGTATTTCTCACCGTAGTAAAAATTCAGACAAAAAAAAAAAATAATCACCCAGTTGCAGGAGTTTTGGAAGATAAGCTAACATGGATGTAAAGTCTGTCCCAAGGTAAATGAAGCAGTACTAGGTAGCTGATTATTTAGGATATAAATAGGAGAGAGAAATGTATCTGAAGAGAATGTAAAAGTTAAAACACTGGGACAGAGCTGAAGAGAGAGAGAAATAATGACTTCTGGGAAATTCTCCCAAATTCAAAGGGGAATCTGTGAAATTCAGTGAGAGCCTGCTGAGGGTGATTTATACACTAGCTAGTGTCTGCCTACAACACAAAATCTGAACTTTTGGGGTTCTGATCTATTGAATTCAATACCGAATTTGGATGGCTTAGTAACTTAATAATTTTGTATTCCAAGACAGTTCCTCAATTGAGTTCCTCCCAGAAAAAGCCAGCATGTAGTCCAAGACTCAGTCCACAGGCCTGAATTCTTCTGCTTTTTCAGCTTCGTTTTTTTGCTCTCCCATTTTACTGTGTCATTTGTGTAATGAAAATATGAGAATTTAATGTGGGGGTCTTAAGTCATCAATGTTTTGTTTTGTTTTGTTTTGTTTTTCTTTTTTTCACTGCTAGCTCAAGGAGATTAGGTTGTCCCTCATACTCATTGTACAGAGGATCTGTGATCTGGGACAGTGTTAGTGAGTGATAATAAGTCTATGCCGCAACTCTGTCGCAGCCAAGGAAGCTTTGACTTGCTGGACTTTCACATCCTTACATCTAAGGAGGATGAGCTGTTGCTTCTCAATTTTCTTTAAAGCCATATGACCTCAAGCTATTTTCCCCTCCTCAGATCAGCAGTAGCCTTTTGAATTCCATGTTGGAGGGTTAATGTGTGGCAGTTGGAATGTGATCTCAGGAGTCAGGGCTACAGGGTGCTGATTCTCTACGTATCATTAGACAGTCGTTACCTGTCTCCCAACCTCTGTTTGCCTATGTGAAAAATAGGATTTCCTACGTACGAATTGTGAAGCAGAATAAACTCTGTACTGTAGGAGCTTTGGGAGTACACCATCTCTAGGCTTCTGTAGTGAGGGTCCAGCCTGCTAGCTCCCAAAAAGCCTGGGAATGTGATCGTTTGGGTGCTGGCTCTGGAGGTGCAGAGGAAGTGAGGAGTATAGCAGGGCATGTTCAGTTTAGCAGGCATGGAACTTGCACAAGCAAATGCTCCTCTTGTATTTTTGGGTGAAGTAAGAGTGGATTCTGGAATTTTTGCTGATTTAGGAGGATTTACGGTCATTATTGCTCAGCTTCAGGTAACCTGGTTCTTTCAGTCCATTGCTACATGTGTATCTATGTAATTCCCTGCTTTCGATGATTTTAGCCTGGAGTATCATGCATTTTTCCCCTTGGGGTTTATTAAGCATGGCCTCTTTGCTTCATTAGAATATAGAAATTAGCCGTTGACTCTCCCTCAAACATTGTGGAGGAGGCAGTGAGCTACTTTTCCCTTACAGAGTTAATTTTCTTCAGCTGCTAAAAACCCCATGACACTCATGACAAGAGTCCTCAAATATTAGTAAAATTGGGGGCAAGGAATCAGGAAAATAGAGTAAGTAACAATTGTGCCAAAAATGATAATGGGCCATGGAATTGCTTCATGTTGAAAATTATACATATCTGTAATGCTATTAATGCTAGAATAATGGTAGCGCTTCTCATCTTCAGGGTGCCTCGTGTGATTAACCACGTTGGTTCCACTGGTGATGTGTTTAAATAAAATCTGTGCTTTCTGAATGTGTGTTGCAGTCTTAACATTCTTGAAATCTTTGCAGACCAGTTCTCAAGATGGGATAGGAAAGCTGGACTCTAGGTTACCAAGTGAAATCGGCCCGACTCCTGTGTTGAGACTAGTCATCTACTGTTCCTTCCATTGAGACAGAACTGTTGCCTGTGTTTTTACTAGTCCTGTTGAATGCAATGGATGGTATTTTGAATTCCTGGGTTAAAAACAGAATTGAAAATCTGAAATGCCTTTACAGAGCGGGCAGCTAAAGTTGCTGAGCAGCAGGAGAGAGAGCGAGCAGCACAGCAACAGCAGCCGAGTGCTTCTCCCCGAGCAGGCACCCCTGTGGGGGCTCTCATGGGGGTGGTGCCACCACCAACACCAATGGGGATGCTCAATCAGCAGTTGACACCTGTTGCAGGTAAAAACAGGAGCTAAGACCATTTTTTTCCACTTTAAGAAATTCTTCATTTTTTTTTTTTTTTCTCCAATGAGGAGTAGGCCACAGTCTCTAGCCTTTTCTCATGACAGATTCAAAGTTTGAAGTCATCCATGTCGTCCTATATCGCCTTTCCCATATGGATAATGCCTCCCCTCTGCCCCAGAAATGGGCCCTGGGCCCAACCCTGGGGAGTTGGTAGGGAGCAGCTAGCTCTTTGCTGGCTATGGGCATGGTCTGGCGATGTTCTCCACCCCATACTGCTCTTGAGAGAGCGCTGTAGCTGAAAATATAAGTAGACCCTGAGTTCTGTTCTAGAGGGACTCCCAAGAGAAAACACAGAACCAGCCTTCAGGTGGTGATGATTTTCAGTCTCATTCCAGTATTCAGTTGACCTTGTTCTGCTGCAGCCATCCTTAAAAGACCATTTAAAAGGATTTTTGACAATGAATTGTAAATCCTTTCTGGTCACCAATGTGCATGACTGCTAAATGGAATACAAGTCCTTATTCAATTCATTGTGCCCACTCTGTAATGCTTTTCTATTTAATTACATTAAACTGCATTTTCTGTTAGTATCCCAGTCACATATTTAAAAAAAAAAAAGAAGAAGAAGAAAATGATGAATGTGGTTTGCTTGTGTGTGTTGTCTCTGGTTTGGTAACCATAGCAAATTTGGCTATAGTTGAATTTAATATCCTTGTCTGGCATGTCTCCAATGAGAATCCTGCAGACCACGTCCCTCCTTTGGGTCCTTCCTGAGTGATCCCTCCAAGCCAGGTGAGATCCTTAAGAGCCACCTGTGTTTCTTCTTAAGCAAGCAGTCTGACCTCTTTCACAGGGAGTTAAAGACAGTGTTGTCCAAGGCAGGCTTGTTGGAATGCTGTTTTTGTGTTTGCTTTTTTGTTTTTGTCGGGAGGAAGAGTAGCATAGGATAACTTTTCCAGTGTTGCTCCTAACTTTCGTGATGACAAGATTCTTGAACGCACTGACACTGAGCTCGCAGTTGCACTCGCCAAACACATCTGAATCATGGCTTTCGGTACTTCCAGTGTGACAGATGTTGATCTAACAAGCCTCATAATCGCCTGCTCTATTCCATGGCCCATTTTGGTTAATGGGGTTCCAGAGGTTTTTAGAAATCAGGCCTTGAACATGGGGACTTTGAAAGTTAGAATTCCCTCGTTGACATCCTGTTTTGTTCTATTTGATGTGTGATATGGTAGCACTGTGCCCTTGACTAAAAAGCCCGGGGACACATCAACAAAATGAATATAAACAGCTAAAGTCATTTTAAAAAACAGCAGCTGCAGCATTTTAGCTCCCTGTCAGGGAATAACAGCGTAGAGCTCTGATGGGCAAGGAGGGTGGACCCCTCTAGAAAGCCCCTGTTCCATTATTAAGAGTATGCTGCCCAGGTTTTGAGGCCTGGGAAGTGAAGGGCAAGTACTCTCTCCAGTAACCAGTCTTTGGTCCACAGTGAGAACTTTGCAGCTAAGAGGAAGATTTTTCATGGACTTGCAAGTTGCTTAGGTCCCAAGTCTTAGCTTTGTTGCTGTCTGAGACCAGCTTTGCTTACAAGCATTGAAGCTCATTTGAACATGTGACTGGGATATAAATGCCAAAGTACAGTTTAATGAAGACAAGTGTCATGTCTTTCAATTCTTCATAATTTCTTTAACCATAGCCTATGAAAGCTGTGTTCAGATGGGCTCTTGTAATTGAAAGCAAAGCCTCACATTCTTCAATTCCCACCTACTGATCCTTAAAAGTGCTATCTGGTGTTGTAATTAAAAAGCACTTTAGTGGCATTGGATCTCCTCATGTTTAAGATGATGGTGTCTGTTCATTTTTAAAGGTGAAACTCACAGGCCTATTTCATACATAGAGATACTGCCATTTAAAAATTTGTTTTACTGGTTGGTGTAATTGTAAGTTTTTTCAATCAGCTTAGATATGACTCATGAAGCAAGCTGAATCAGTTTCAGAATTTCAAATAATCTGTTAGCTTTAAAAGACTAAACTTTTGTTAAGTAAAGATCTTTAAACAATTCTTCAGGGAAGTCAAAGAGTAAATTCTCAGAATCTAGAGACTTACACCATTCCCTAGAGTCCCTTTACAAAGAGTATTTTATAAAAATGAGATTTGACACTAGTGCTTTGGTCAGATCTTCTTCAACCCTCCCATTGTATGGAAACACTGACCAAAGGGGATTACATTCCAGGGGGAGCCTTATATTTCTGTTATTGCAATCATCACAGATCTCAGAAAAGCCAAGTTATTTTTCTTGTTTAAAAAAATGTTATGTGGCTTTAAAAGTTTTTTGATAGGTGAGTCCTTGATATTTTGAAATTATTTTCTTACTTAGACACCTATTTGCTAGGCATACTTATTTCCTGAAACCCTTCCCTAGCCAGCAGAAAATACTTTGTTACATTGCAAATAAAGAAATAAAAGTCTCCATTCATATAAATTCTGCACCTCAATTAAAATGCTCTCGTTAACTGAAGGTTTATGTGAGGGTGTTTGTGAGCTTGGAGACAGTGATGACAATTGGCCTTTTCTCATATCAGGAGAGTCTGGTTCTCCGGCTTTTCCTCCGTAAGGTCTGTGTGCAGGCGACTGAGTGACCTGGGCTTTGGTTAGCTTGGGAGGGTTTAGATTTTTTTCTTTATTTTGTCATATTGTGAGATCTAAAGACAAAAAGAAACATCATTCATTGTGATGGCTCTTAGAAGCTATTCCCCAGCTCAAGGCCGAGCATGATCCATTGTTGCCAACAGAGGTAGGCTAGAAGGAAAGAGGAGTAGATGTGGAATTCTTCAAATGCTCTCGCCTCCAAGCTGGAGAAGCATGCTTTGTGATCAGAACTGTGTACCTCATCTCCCTCCATTCCGATTTCCCCTCATGTGTATCCATGACAGGCATATGAGTGTGGCAGAGTGGAATGATGGGGTTTCTACTGTTCAATTAGAATTGCAGTCGGCAGAACTGGTCACTCTGTTTAAACAGCTCATGATAATTGTGACCTTGGGAAGGCTGTTACTGGAACTCCTCTTTATTATTATTTAACTGAAACATGCAGCATATTTATCCCAGGAGAAAGAACTTCAAATCATAATATACTAAGTACTAATTCATCCAGAAATGTTGTATTTGATATTTGTAACTTTTATTTTGTTCATAATTGCAACAAAATAATTGCACTAATTACTGTTATATCATGCAATACTAAGGGTGCTTTATTCATTGATAGTGCATGTGGGGGTTTTGTTATTACTTAGCTCATATTGCATGTTAATGATGCATGTCTGAAATTTGTTGTGTCCTTCAAGGCATGATGGGTGGCTATCCGCCAGGCCTTCCACCTTTGCAGGGCCCAGTTGATGGCCTTGTTAGCATGGGCAGCATGCAGCCACTTCATCCTGGGGGTCCTCCACCCCACCACCTTCCACCAGGTGTGCCCGGCCTCCCGGGCATCCCACCACCGGGTAAGAACTTCATCCTCATTCACTCATTAATGTCATCTTCCTATTCTCTTCTTCCTCCCTCAGCTAGTTGTTCCAGAAGGCACCTGCTACCCAGTGTGGCCAGGCCTTCCCTCACTGAAGAACCCTAGGGATTTCAGTAGCAGGGCCTGTCCTGTGTGTTGAGTAGGTGGCTCAGCACCTGTGCCCTTGGAACATGAAGCTGCCAAGCAGCAGCATAGGACACATGGCAGAGGCCAGACTCAGCAGACCAAGAGGAAGGAGGCTTATTCTTTAATTACTTGCACCCTTTGTTTGAAAAGCCAGGCATAGCCTAGAAGGTCATGCCCTAGTATCAGTGAATGAAGTTTCCCAAGTTGCCTGTTTAGAGTAGCATATAAAAAGCACTTAGTGCTCCTGGGTGCATTTCCTCCTCTGTGCAATTCTTATCTCACAGGGGCTCCTGCAGAGAGTTGCTGCTTTATCTCTTTCTCCTCCAGCAGCCTTCTAAGGGGTGGGGGAGGTTGCTAATGTATAACTCTTCAGAAATTCTTTGGTCAGTCATGGGAATAAAAAGGAAGAAGGGAACAAATAGATACTGAACTACTTTTCGGTGTCTGAGATCCCTGAGAAGCATGACATCACATTTTGAAGAACAGGGTAACCCACCTACTAACTGTAGACATTAGTTTGTTTATCAACAGAAGTTCACCAGTTATCTTCTATGGAAGCACGTAAGTGCAGTCCAGAAGTCACCACATTCAGTTTTACTTTATAATGAATTAGCAAATTGAAAGGTGATTTTTTTAAAAAAAATTTAAATGAAAGGAAAATCACAGGTTCCCCTGTTAAGTGTCATCACATGCACAAGACCTGACTCAGCTATAACCTAATTGAAGGAAATGTGACTTTTATATTACTTGGAATAGTGTTTGATTTATTATTTTAAATGTGAGTTAAGGGCCCAGCCCAGATGATAAAAATACGGAAACTTGCTAGATTTGCTTATACCAGTGTTAGATATGCCAGTTTCAGGGCTGTGACGGTTTCAAATAATGCTTCAGAGAGTGGCTTGACCTGAAGCTCTGGCTGACCCCTTTGGGAATGTTGCTTAGAGAATGGCCATAACTACACAGAAATTGTTCATTCCAGATGTGCCCAGAAGAGATATTTGTGGAGGTGGGTGCTTCCTTAGGAAAATAGAGGAGCTGCTGCAGCAGGAGTCAGTCATGAAATGGGTGTTCACATGTGGCAGATAGAATTGGCCTGGATTCTATGCCCTCTCACTCTGGCACAGGGTGTTTCACTACATCAGTAAGACCAGGTCCGAGTGGACACCTTCAAGGTGCATGTGGCACTTGACAGGAGCTCCAGCTAAGGCTGGTAGCCTCTCAGTAACAGATGTCTTTTGATGGGTATTAGGACACAGCTGTTGCCCTTTCTCCCTTCTTCAGTTTCTAAATTGCCTTCAAATGACACCTGGTCAGTGTGAGGGAGCTAGAAGAGAACCTCCATTAGTTCCTGTATACACACGTCTGATAGGGCTATGAAAGGATGCAGGGAGCCGCCTGGAGATGCCACTCACGTTCTCACAGGCTGTCTCTTGGCATGACATTTATAAACAGAGGAAGCAGAGGGAGTAGCTGATTTGTTTGTGGTCCCTGCAAAGCATTGATACAAGCAACTTAGGGAGCCCAGTGCGTTGTGAGGTGTAAGGCAAGTGAGTGTTCTGGGGGGCAGGGGTTAATAGGTTGCTGAAGCAGCAGCTTCCCTACCACAGCCTCTGCATTCAGTCACAAAGAAGTGTTAGGACCTGTTTTGGCGGTCTAGACTTCTGGGTACTTGGAATATCATAACCTAGTCTTTGTAAACAGAAGGTGGTTTTGCTTGATATTTTCTCTCTAACAAATAAGAGGACATCTTATTTGCTGCCTTCAGCATCAATTCCTGAAAGTGGCATTTAGCAGTTGTGGACTTGGGCTGCCTCTGCCTGGTCAGAATATCAGCATTTTGAATCCACTGTCGATTATGAAGTTAGCATTTCTCAGTCCTTCTGTGCAGCCAGCAGGACTTACACTTTAAAGAACTGCTCACCAGGCTGTTTGGCTGTAGTTTGTTAGTTTAATAAATGGGATCCATGCCTAATTCTGTGTTTTACCAGGATAGTAAAGGGATGGTCCTGAGATTAGAATAAAACCTCAGGCACTAAATACTAAATGTAAGTCATCTCACTGTTATCAGCTAGTACCTGTGAGACAACAATTGCCTGTGAGAAGTCACCAAGGGAAGTTTACAAAATTCTTACCAGAGGCATAGTACCAGCACTAGGAGTCATAGAGTCTTCCCTTCTCCATTTTCTGTCATTTTGCATTTGAAGCCATAGCAATGAGGCTACTCTGCTCCCAAATGACCCCTTTCCAAAGTCCTGCTCTAGCAGATGGAGGAATCCTCTGTCAACACTAGTGAGTCCAGTTAGAACCAGAGATGTTGGTGACCTGTAAGGGGGCAGCAAGCATGTGCCTCCAGCATCAGCAGGCTCAGTTCACTGCACTTCCACAGCCTCTTCCCTCGGGCCCCTGCTGGCCAAGTACATTGTGCACTGCTGAGCCTAACTCCAATGCCATGGCTGCTGAAATCACATACAGGCTTCGGTTGCAGCAGAATCTGTTTTCAGAGGGAAAAATACTTTGAAAATAGAGTTGTATCCTGACTATAGCACACCTGAAGAAATACTTCTAGAATTTGATATGGGGATTACATCATTTTCTAATCCCCATATCAAATAATTGATGTACATGTAACATGTTGTACCAGTTCTGTAAAGTATCTAGAAACAAAGGAATGTAAATCTTCTGTTTAAATGCTACACCCTGTTTTAGGTGTTTAGGGTTCCTATCCTCAAAGACTCAAGGACAGAGGTCCATAGGTTTGCATTATAAATGACATCATTTCTTATCAGACAGTAGTTTTTCCGTCACCTCAGTCCCAGAGACTCTAACTGCATTGCATTCTGAATTATAGGTGTGATGCACCAAGGAGTGACCCCTATGGTAGGGACTCCAGCACCAGGTGGAAGTCCATATGGACAACAGGTGAGCCTCCCAGTTTGACTTTCTAGGATTCTACAGACTTCCAGTCCTCTCCTCCCTCAGATCATGTGTAGACTCTGTTTTTGCCTTACCATGCGGTCCCATGCTCTTTCAGGTGGGAGTTTTGGGGCCTCCCGGGCAGCAGGCACCGCCGCCATATCCCAGCCCACATCCAGCCGCCCCACCCGTCATACAGCAGCCAACAACGCCCATGTTTGTGGCTCCCCCACCGAAGACCCAACGGCTTCTCCACTCAGAGGCATATCTGAAATACATCGAAGGACTCAGTGCCGAGTCCAGCAGCATTAGCAAATGGGACCAGACCCTGGCAGGTAAGGAGAGGCCTTTCTAAAATAAGCCTTGGTAAAACACACACTTCCTCGCAGTCCTCTTGCTGCTGCTGGCATAGATAAACACTATCCATTTTTATTATACAAGTAAAGGAAATCATATATTTAACAAAAGGGTTTACGGTTTCTTTGCATATTAACATCACACACTGAAAAACTTTTTTATTTTAGCCAAATTTCAGAACTTTTGCCCTAAATATCACTACCATCTTTTTAAGTGTACTCTGAATTTTTCTGATTAGTTTTCAGGCCTATAAATGCATCTGGATAAATTAAAAATTATTTTACCTCAAGGAAAAAAAATTACTAGGAACATGTTCCCATTAAGCTAAAAAGCTGCTTGTTTAGTTCAGCAGATTTTATGTAGTTTCCGTACATACACGGAAATACTTGCCTAGTTTCTGGAGAGAAATTTGGAAGTTTCTACTTAGTCTTCATTTCTAAACTACATTTGATTTCTTTCAAGAGTAGTAGGTATGTTTCCCTTCCTTTACATATTTACCTTTGAAGTGATTATTACATACCAGGGTTGACTACAACAAAATATTAACAATCAAATCTTTCAGATGTTTGCAACTCTTGTGTTCTCGTTGTACTAGAGAGTTATGTTAAATCATACAGCTCTTTAGTGAAGTCATTATAAAGTAGATGATTTCTGAAATACAAAGCATATAGAGCAAGAAGGAGGAGATAATCTTGGCAAGGATGTTGCCAGTGGGTGATCATAAGCCAGACTGAAATGTTTTTCTAGAAACCCAGATGCCTAATAAAACGATACAAGGCATTTGCTTGGAATTATTCTTCAGAGTTGAAATTCATATTTAATTCTGTTTTGATAAATGAAACAGATGTAAAGGAAAATTTGCCACCTTAAAATTACAGTTTATATTTATCTGTCTGCACTTTAATTTTCAGCTAGAAGAAGGGACGTCCATTTGTCGAAAGAACAAGAGAGCCGCTTACCCTCTCACTGGCTGAAAAGTAAAGGGGCCCACACCACCATGGCAGATGCCCTCTGGCGTCTTCGGGATTTGATGCTCCGAGACACCCTTAACATTCGCCAAGCATACAACCTAGAAAACGTTTAATCCCATCAGTTGCATTTCTTTTATAGAAGCATAAAGAGTTTTGTGAAACAGTAGCCATTTTAGTTACTGGGGGCGGGGGGAAGGAACAAAGGATGATAATTTTTATTGCATTTTACTGTACATCGCAAGGCCATTTTTATATAAGGACACTTTTAATAAGCTATTTCAATTTGTTTTTGTTATATTAAGTTGACTTTATCAAATACACAAAGATTTTTTTTGCATATGTTTCCTTCGTTTAAAACCAGTTTCATAATTGGTTATATATGTAGACTTGAAGTTTTAACTTTTTACATGTTGCCATGGAATCAAAACCATCAAAGGTTTTTTTTCTTGGCTTGGATTTTTTTTTTTTTTTTAATAAAAAAACAAACAAAATTTAAAAAAAAAAAAAACACATATACACACACAACAGTTTACAGATTACTTTAAATTGACAGTGAAATGTGAAGTTGGTCCTAGTTTACATCTTAGAGAGGGGAGTATACTTGTGTCTATTCCATGTGCCTAAGTATCTTAACCTACTTGCCACAAAAGCTGTTGCTTACAGGTGAAGTGAAGTGCTTTCTTTGAAAGGTGGTTACTTAGATTCTAGCTGTTTGGCAGATACGAGACAATTTGCTCTGTGGACTCCAAGGCTCGCTGCAGGGACCTGAAGTCAGTGCTGTGCACCCTTCTGCAGCCAGCCCCTCCCGGTCACTCGGAGGGAGGGACTCATCTTCTTGTGCTGCGTTAGACATCTATGATGTCAGTTATCTTTGCAGAAGATGTGCACAACCCTGAATTACATTTCCTCTTGGCAGGTAAGTTTAAGGGTACTTTGGATCTATTTATAATGAATTCACAATTCATGCCTGTACATGTTAAATGATTTAAATGATATGTTGGGAAACACTGAAGTTCATCTTAAAGAAAGCAGTGAGGTGTGCAAGGAGTTGATTACTTTTAAGCATAACACCTGACCTACCAGAGGGGCGGTGGTATGTAGCTGAATGTGAGCTGTGTCAGAAACATAATTGAATGGCTGAATCACCTGCATATGCAGATATTTTATTACTCTTTATTTTCTCATTGTCAGGTGTGGTGTTTTTTTGTTTTTCCTTCTGAGTTCCAGGGTTGTAATCCTCAGCCAGAAATTTAAGGATTTCTAAAATATTTCAAACTGAGCTTATAGTCTTTTGAGTTTCAGAAGAGAAGAATCAAAATGTAAGAAAATGCTTACTAAAAATATCATTACAGAGCCCATACCCTTGTTTTTGATGACCATCTCTTTCTTATTTTACCTTAGAATAAACATTTGGAGGGAGTGTATTATGCTCAGATAGGTAGAGGGTATCCACCAGAGAATGTTTCTTCACTTGGGGGCTGTATTTTTAAAACCTGCTTTATTGGAAAGGGTGGTTGCCTTTGTGGTGAAATTTCCACTGCTGTTTGAAAGCTGAGAGTGACTCTTGAGAGGATGCATTTTTTTTTCTTTTAATCTGGTATGGGTCGATACCCAGATCTTTAATGACCATTCTTATTAAATCATGAGGACAAGAGTGTAGAATGGGGAAAAGTCTCTTGTGTTAGACACTTTAAATACAGGAGGCCCTTGTAACTTAATTACTTGTAGTCAACCACTGGATGTCAATTTGCATGGAGTATTTTAAATAATTTTAAATTTTAAAAAATGTATTGCAGTTGTATGTCCATACCTTATTGTTAATCAGATAAGCAAAGCCTCAGCGCCTGATTATTTGGGTCATTGAATCATCATGGACTTTATAGTATAATCAGATTCTTTCATTTCTAGCCATCCTTGAATTACACCAAAGAACCTGAAATTTAATTTTGGTTAAGTTATTTATTTATTTCATGCATTCATTTTCTTTCCCTTTTTAAGGTCTGGGTGAGACTTCCTTGGGAAGCCTCTAAAAACTCTTCACTTTGGGCTACGTGGGGCATCAGAAGCCAGAGAGAGCACTCCTCCTCGGGACTCCTGTCCAGCACCAACTGGTGCTAGAGGAGTCATAGATGCAGCTGGGCCTCCCTGAGGCGGTGCAAAGCCGGGTCAGGGGACACCAGACAGGCCTTAATCAAGTTTAAAA